TGGGGACTAATTAATAACCCACTAAAAATATTGTGAATTTTTTAATACTTTTAGACATCCAAAAGGACATTGTAAAACACTACTGGTATATATCTTTTTTCACCATATGTCAAAAAGCAAAAATTTGAGATATTGAAATTCATCTTTAATAGCAAATATTGCTTTTATTGTATGCCAGATCATTAAAATATAATTGTAATATTTGACTATTCATCTTTTTTTTTGGGGGGGGGGGGTTACACAGAAAGCTAATTTGAAACACAAACACAATTCAAGCCCAGGGATTGCACCAAAGAATCATGGGACACTACTGTTTATGTTGTCTACAAAGTTATTCTATCTTTTGTAATTTAAATGTAATTTTAATCCAGAAAGTAAATTTGTTGTGAGATTGGGCTTAACTGGAAGTGCCCCTTCAAGATATTGACCAATCCCTGAAAGAAACACACGAAGATCAAAGAAAGTTAATTACAAACCATGCATGAATATTTAGCCACACAACACAACACCACTGAATTTCAGGGATGGACCAGTAAATATATTGGGGGAGGAAGATTTACAACAATTTGAGATTTCTTCCCTCACCCACATGCAACTGGTTCATCTTTTTCGGTGGATGAGCACACAAGCATGCGGCAAGCAGGAGTTAAAAAAAATGATTATGAATGATTTTTTTAGCAAATGCCAGGACATACTGGAACGGATGTCACGTGGGCTGGTTGCTACAGCTTTGCGTTCCTCGTAACCATGGAAACCTAATCGACTAGGTGCACTTCCAGCAACATAGTTACGTCTAGTGAAGTCATAAGCAGTGATTGGATCTAGGGAAAAAAATTGTTAGTAAATTAAGGTAGTATTCCACTAATTGCAAATAATAATGTTAATAATATGCAAATAATGTTATTGTTATTACATATGATGTTTAATGTTTCCAGTTTAGAGGTAATTACACATACAGAATTACATCTCATGAAACAAACAAAATACATGTTTTCTTGAAAATTTCCGTTTGAATTCAAAAATTTTTAAAAAACACTTTTTCATATTATTTTTAAGGTCGAAAAAACAAAAGCCCCCAAAACGACAATAATTTTTTTGGGTTTAGAGGTGTTCAAAAATAAAGTGCGGTGATGCACATTTTTTTATTTCTCTATCAATATTTATTCAAACTCTCCTACCACCCCAACCTTCACCCCCAAACTAATATCATTTATAAACTGATCCCTGTATTAAATGATCAAAATCAAATCTATTTTTTGGTGCTTACTGGATTAGCATGGTTTAAGTAAACCATTTTATACCAACAAACTTATATACAACTCTAGATGTTCAATATGAAGTAATTTAATATTTTTCATAAATTTTCCTAATCTTTTGCAAATTTATACTAATAATTAATTAAAGTTATTAAATTCATTTTCAAATCATTTATAAAATTTAGTACAAGCAGATACTTTGAGGAATAATTAGAAAAAGATTCAGATAGTTATAAAATCAATACCTAAACAGAATGTATCTACAATGAATCTAAATGGCATCTGACAGGACAATAGATTTCGAAAGCAAACCAAAAATGTTCCAAGTATTCAATCATTAAGTCAACCACAATAAACAAGATTTGACTTTTATTCCAGACAATTACAAACAACTTGGACATATAAAATGAATTGTACCATGTACATTTTCAACTGAATTCATCCATGGCAATGCACACATGCTAGACAATATATTACATAGTGCTTTCATTTCACCAAGATGGCTGACACCTGCCACGGCCATTCAGCAGATGAGGTGAGGTGTAACAAACAATCAAACAATGTCTCACACCACGTGCTGGCATATAGACAATGTACAATTAGTTGCTGTGTCGTCAAGATACTCTGAACCACACAGAGATCGATGCAGACAGTTTATTCAAATAAATTTTAGCATGCACAGGTAAAAGTACAGATAAGAGTACACAAAATTACCAATTTTATTTCAGTGTGAAACATGAAAAAATTATTAGCTCTATTAGCAAATCTCCAAAAAAATTAATGTAAAACCAAAAATATCTATTTTATACCAACTGAAAACAATCACGTTAATTGTTTTGTTAGGATGTATGTATTTACATACTTAATAATGTTGCCATCTTTCAAAATGAATTTCAATGGACTGAATGAACGAATAATGATGATGACTATAAGTAAACAGAAACAAACAGTTGTGAACAGCAATGAATTGAACCCCTAGTGGGCGACTCAACAAAAAGGTCCGGTATACAACCTTGAAAGAAAAAGAAATAACACTGTTGTACATTTAGGAATAATGTTACATTTAATTCATAGGGATAATTCAAAAAATATGAAATGTTTGAATCTTTGGAAAACTCTCTCAGGTACTGGACTGTTTTAAACCTAAGCTTCTGTGTGTTGGAAGAGTGAAGGTCCTAGCTGTGACAACGCCCTCAATGTTAGGTTTTGAAAAACAAATACCTATTTTGACTCATCACTAAAATATTATAGGTCCGCAATTCCAGTGTTTTATTCCTAAGAGAATAATCTTATGAATAATTAATTTAAATTATTTCTCCAACCATTGTTCAGTAATCTAATAGATGAGTTTCATGTTCTATTAGTTGCTAGGTTACCAAGCAGTGCTGATTTCATAAGAGAATAAAGGTGACTACACTTCCCATCATCTTTTAATCGACGGAGTAATTAAACAGCACTAACACCATAGTTGCCATGGAAATTTGATTCAGTCGGTGAAACAGGTATCACTGTCTTAGGAACAACAAGCAAAGATGATTTCGCTTAAAAGAATCAGTAACCTAGCAACTTATCTATTCTACAAACCCTTTGACTTGTATTGTCAATTTTTGTCACCACTCCTGTCAGTGTTTGCAACTTTTCTAAAAATTTGCTTCTTTTCTTTTCTGTGAAATAAAATTGGATGTAAATAAAGACATACCTTTGACAAAGTGTTGTGGTCGTCCATAGTTCTGTGATGTGTTTAAGCTGTGTGATGGTAGACCTCCCAAAATGGGGATCCGAGACGATTCAAAACTACCATCGGGATAGCCTTTAAACCGGAAGTTCCCTTGTGTGGCCGGACCGGACTGTTGATTCAGATGACTTAAATCTTTTGGTGTAACTATGGAAAGAAAAACAAATCATAGTCAATGAAAAGTAATTATTTACACTCATGTGACTGACATGATACAAAGTAGAGCCAGTTTATTCCTTTCTTTATTCTGCCTATGATATTTATAATGCTTTTCTAGCACAAAAATGATGATCAGCCATTTTGAATCAGATTCTGAAACAGAGGCATGTGCAAATGTGTTACATGATGTATGTATAAAGTTTGAACATGTTGTTAGAAATATGGCTACATAAACAGCAGTTTTTAAAAACAAAACGGCCATCAGTCAGCCATTTTGGATCAAATCCGGGGGAAATAATGATGTGCTTCAAGGACCCGTTATGTTAAATGGGCATATACCAAGAATGAATAAGTCCATGCATGACTTAGATCCAGTTCTGGAATGGCAGAAATGCATGGTTTTGGTGAGTTTTGGTGAGTCATTCGGCCATTTTGAATTGGATCATGAAACAAATGCGTGTGCATTTGTATAATATGATGTATGTGAAGTTTGAATGAAATTGGCCCACACATGTGTGAGATACAGGTATGAACGAATGCACAAACACATGCACAGAAGGTAAAATTATAAGTCAAAGTTGTTGGACCACGTCCAAACAGGGACTAAAAAACAGGATTTAGATATGTTAATTGTATGAATACCGATTTTGGCTCACTGTGTAGATTACACTGGTTAGCGCCACCAGGTGGTGAAATACAATTAAATGGGTGCATTTGTTTTTATTTAGAAGATAATACTTTTACAGGCATACTACCGGGGGTAAACAATTTTTCCCCTTTTCCTTTAAAAAAAATATATTTTTTTTGTTTTATTCAGTGGTAGCATGACTGTAGAATTAAAACAACATTGGAAACAAAACACAGAATGATTCAATTCAAAGTTGAATATTTTGTCAATAAAAGACATTTAAGTAGATTAAATTACATCAATCTGATTTACATTCAAAATCGCCATCTTTGTATATATGAGACCCATATCTCACGCATGCGCGGAGCGACGACTACCGCCCTTTAACCTTTTGAATGCAAGTTTTTTTTTTCCCACCCAAAATTCAGTGCAAATATTCTCACATTTTGTAAAATTTTCAGTAAATTTTATAACCATTTCGGGCCCATCGTCCGAATCGCATGGTCCTGTGTCTTCGACCTATGAGCCTCTACACGATGCCGCGCGGGATCGCATAGGCTAATTGCGTATCTTAAGCAGTGAGATCTGATTGGGCGCACTTCGAAACAAGGCACCCAATCAGCTTGGACGTACCAAATTATAAAACAAAATTTTACTTCCTGTTTTTGTTGATATGAAGACATCCTTCCCACACAAAACTGCGTCGATTGCCTGTACCTGATGAGGCTTGAGGGCACCAATGCCGGAAACTTTCGCAATTTTATCATCACAAATATCACGATTCATGGGCGCCACCATTTTGTTTAAAATGAAACACCAAAGAGGGATTTGTAACACGCAAACTGATTGGACAATGATTAGCCGCAACTGACTACTGGGGGTGCTGTTAGAATACGCATATTTGATGGTCGTTCTGCCAAGGTCTGTTTAGAGGATTTGCCGAATAAACTTTGACCTTGGCTAGCGAAGATGTTTCAGGCCATACAGTTAGTTTCAGATATTGCTTTTAATTTTTGATCAAAAGGTTTGTCAATTATAATCAACATTTCATGTGCAAAGAGCACACTATGTAAAATGATTTTGTAGATGGTTATAAAAGTAGACAATGGCTCTCAAAGGGATAATCAAGAATACTTTACTAGCATATATAAACAATTTATAAAGAAGCAGAAAAGGTCATAGACTGGACCCAGGGTTGAAATTAAAATTGCCTGTCTATTGACGATGTACCTGTCCCTAGCAAGATAAATAATGACATATTTGACATATTATTGGTTCACCATTGTTTCATAAGTCATGACAACTCTGAAAGCAATTATCTTGACATTAGCAGCTTTGGGACCAGCAGGCTTTTAGC